GTGCTCCAGGATGTCCAGGATGGCCTTGTCTGAGTCGGGCAGGCTGCGCTTCCCGGCCTGGGGGGGTGGTTAACCATGCTGGGTGGGGTGCGGCGGGGGGCCCGGGGGACCGGGAAGGCAGGGCACAGCAGAGCCCGCCACGGGCACCGTGAGGGCAGGAGACTCTGTGCCAGGGAAGCAGGGAAAGAGTCGCTGTCTCTTGGGATCCTTAAGCAGCTGACTATTTAAGAATTTTATCACCTGGAAAGAAGCATAAACCCCACTCCTGCTCAGGAACATCCCGATGCCTATCGTTCTGTCCTCGCTCTTATCAGAGCCGAGAGGAGCGGTGCCGTCTGTCCAGACATTTCACAGGTGAAATGTGAAGCAAAGACAGGGCTGATCCCCCGTCCCGATGCTTCCCCTGAAGTATCAATTAATCTGCTTCGATTAACCCAGATTCATTCTCCGCTCCAAATCCTCACCTCCAACACCAGGCAGCCGATCCCGGGGGAGTAACTGAGGGGGGAGGGGCGGGAGAGCCTTTCTTCCTCTCCTTGCAGATGTGTTCGGGGCTGCTACCCCTCCCCTGCCTCCTCATTCACCCCTGTAAACCGTTCCGTGGTGGGAAACGCACGGAGACCCCTGATGTTTTAACGAATCCCAGGGAGCTGAGAGTTGAATTTCTCGGGATCTGTAAGGGCAGCTGGGTTTGTCACAGAGCCCGGGCGGCGGCCTCCGTGGGAACGGACACGAATCACAGACACCCTGTCCCAAGTATCACCTCATGTGACGTCACGCTCCCGAGAAGCGGGCGGTGTGGCCACCTTGCTGTACGGAGGGGGAAACTGAGGCACCCAGGGATGACGCGAATGGCCGAGGGGCCCTGAGGTCGGCAAGAGGGGCTGACGCCCAGACGGGGCTTGGCCCCTTCCGTACGCAGCCCTGCCCCGGCCCTCACCTGGATGATGGACTGCAGCTCTTGGATTTTGGTCTTCAGCATCTCGTTCTCCCGCTCCAGTTCCAGGACCTGCTCCCTCTTGGGCCGATTCTCAATGTCGTTCTTCAGTTTCAGCGACTGGTTCCTCTCCAGCTTACACTCCTCCTCCATCTTATTCAACCGGTGCTTGAGCTGGTCGATCTGAAACGCCCAAGGTGCCCCGGGGAGAATGAGGGGGAGGCAGCACTCCCCAGACCCCGGTGGACTTTCCGCACAACCTGAGTGATGCCCGCCCCACCCCCCTTCTTCCAGGCAGCGACGGGGAAGGGCTCAAAGAAACCTTTCCCGGTAAAACATAGCACCACTCCCTTGTCGACGAGACCTCCTGACCTGCTAATTTAAGAGAGCTCCGAAAAGCACCGTATGCCCCTTAGCAACTTCCCCGGGGTAACTTTTATGGGGTGGACCAGACTGCAGAATGGGGGAAGGTGTCTCCCCCCAGGTATGGAATCCACTCCAGTGCCTTTCTCGGTGGCCCTGAGTCTGATTCTCAGACTCGGGGTCTCCCTCAAGAACCCATGTTACCTACAGGGAGCGAGGTGGCCAAGAGCTCAGGGTTCTGGGCTCTGCCGCCCTGACTTGACCCCGGAGCAGCCGGTACAGGTTTGTCCCCGCGGGTTTCCCACAAAATTCTATCTGGACAAGCTTCGCACTGATGCGAAAAGAACAGCGTGAGGCTCTCTGGATTCGCAGCATCTCTGACCTAAAGAACCGACCCACAGGGCTGAAAGAGTGGCTCCGTAGACAAGATCATGACTACGTCTGGAAACGGGGCGAGTGGCGACGTGCTGAGCTTTACCCCTCGAGAGGGGAGTGTCGGGGAGCGGGACCAGGAGAAGACTTCTCAGACCTTTGTCACTAAGCGTGTCTGCCTCCCTAAACCGATCGACCACATAAAACATCCGAATCAAGACTGCTTTCAAGGGCTGCAGGGAAGTGGGGGACCCAAGGGGTGAGCACCCTTTCTCAATATAGGCTTGGCGATAGGGGAGAAGGATCGCAAGATGCCTCGCGCCTCGCAGGCAGGGGGTGGTGGCTTTAGCAAGGAACTACTGTGGCGCCCCCGTGGAAGTGAAGCAAGGAGAGAGAGGCACGCAAGGAAGCGGTCTGGGGCTCGGGAATGACCTAGGGACTCTGCCGGCCACATGTTCTTTCACGTTCTAGGCACGTGTCTCACTATTACCACTTCTCCAAGGAAATACAACGGACAAAGTCATAGAAGAGAAACTCGTAAGTCGCTGCCACAGGTTCAGGTCTCCGAGCCCTAGCTATGACAGCACAGACACCTCTCCTCCTGGTCACGCAAAAAAAAAAAAAAAAAAAAAA